CAGAGAACTGATTGGGCAAAAACCCAATCCAGTCCCCTACCCAAAATCATAAATTGGTTAGCATCAGAAAAACAGAGCATTTACTAAAATGATTATACAAAACAAACACTATTTTACAACTTTCCTCTTAACATCAGGGTCCAAATGCAATTTCAGGGCCACAAACCCTGCTCTGAATTGTGACCTGTACTTGAACGAGTTGCAGATTCTTTTAATATTCATCAGCAGAGCTGCGACTTGGTCACAGTGCCATCCTTGCCCTAGAGGCAGGATCGTTGCAGGCAACTTTTTGTCTAGCATGCCAGCAGCCATCTCTGGTGAGGGAAGATTAGTGAAAGCGTCATTGACAATTGATGCAGTCATGGTAAACTCCAGAGCTTTGCGTCCCCCCCTGGAATTCAACATCATTGTATCATCGGGAGAAACGTGGTCAGATTAGCCTTGTGTACACGAGGAAGATGAGTGAGAATGGCTGTAATTTGTTCAAGGTAGCACGCGTGCTTCAACACCTGTAAATTTCCTGATAATCAAACATTGCATACTCAATGTTTCTTTTTCAACGGTGTGCTGCCTTGACATCTTCTTGTGATTATAATATTTATAATAATATTATTAATGATTATTAACGATTACGAAAAGTAAAATTTTATCAATGAAAATCTTGTAATTACCCAGCAAGATCTGCTCCGTGTTTTGATTTCCAATTAAAATGTTTAAATAAAATAAAAAACATCAATACAAATAAAAAATAGTACCTCTGGTTAGTTATTAACACGTTTTCTTTAGGAGACCCAAACCAAACCAAACCAAACAACAACATTCACGTTTTGTCACCTTGGACTCTGTCAAAAAATAAATTGTTTTTCCAAGAAAAAAAAAAAAAAAAAATCAATTTGCGTCGATTAATTCATAAACTACTTTCAGATTTTAATTAAATCATGCCGAAAGAAAACACCAAAAGAACCAAACAAGCCTCAACAAGGAATGATGGGTAAGTGTTTTAAATATGGTGGTGGTGGTTATCGCCCGTCACTCGTCGTCACTCTAGTTTTCTATTAAAATCCCCTGGTTGATAAACGATCTGCAAATTAAATGATTAATTTGAGAACTATTCTAAATTATTATTATCATCCCATTGAGACTAAGGCTCCTCACGAGCCAG